TCATCACTGGAACGATTGGAGTCGCCCACTGACTCCTCATCACAGGAGTGATTATGTGCTCTTTCTCAAGACGATCCAGCTCCTCTTCGATCTTTTGTCGGAGGGCGTATGGAACTGACCTTGGTCTGAGAAACTTTGGTTGAGCATCATCATTCACGCAGAGTTTCACGGCGTAGTCCTTCAGTTCTCCCGGACCTTCAAAGATGGAACTGTGTTTCTGCAGCACACCTGCGGGAGTTAAGGTTTCTGCACGCACGTTGTGCACTTCCTTCCAGTTCACTTGAAAATCCTGAAGCCATGCTCTTCCCAGTATGGGAGGTCCCCCATTCTTCACCACTTGGATTTCATGACGCTTGACTTGCCCGTTGTACCGCATCTCCACTTGAACCATTCCCTCTGGAACGATGGGCTTGCCGGTGTACGGCTTCAGCGTTATTCCCGAAGGTTTCAACTGGATGTTTGGAAGAAGTTCTTGAAACGTCTCCAGGTTGATCACAGTCACGGGTGAGCCTGTGTCAATCTCCACCTGAAGAGGTTTGTTGCAAATCTCCACAGTTACTGTGATGGGTTTCGGGTAGCTTGAGTCGATGAAATAAAACGGAGTTTCGTCTCCCGAGTTCTGTGTAGTGACATGGTTGGTGAAGTTTGGCTTGTCTTTTTTTCTTGAGTCTTGTGGATCTCGTTTCCTGTCGCGACAGACCAATTGGAAGTGTCCTGTTCTTCCGCATTTTTTACAAGTCTTGTTCCTTGCAAAGCAGTTTTCAGGGTCGTGATTGGTTTTGCCGCAGCGATGACATGGGGTCCTGCTTGTGCGAGATTTTCCTTTTTCTTCGCTGGCCTTTTTCGGAAGTGACGCCTTGTGTTTCCGCCCTTGCACCAAGCGATTGACATCTTGTTGGATTTCGGTCTCGCTCCTTATTTCCTTCGCATCCTTCATGGCTACCTCCATCGAAGTGGCAAGATCCACCGCTGCCTTGAATGTCAGCGTCGGTTCAGCCAGCAGCTTTTCGAGAATGTTTCCGTCCTTAATGCCGTCAATGAGCTTGTCTCGAAGGCGGTCGTTGAGGGAAACACCGAAGTTGCATTGCAGTGAAAGCTGTTTGAGCGCAGCTACGTAGTCTGCGATGGTTTCGGATTCCAGCTGCTTCCGGTGATGAAATTTGTAGCGTTCGACCGTTTCATTGGGCGTCGGGTCGATGTGGTTCTGCACTAGTTGAACGATCTGTACGTACGTCTTGGTGCTTGGTTTAGCAGGTGCTGCCAAGTTCCGTATCAGTCCGTACATTTCTCGTCCAACGATAGAGAGAAGAACATCGGCTCGCTTTGATTCCGGAATGTCGTTCGCAGAGAAGAACACTTCGATCCTTTCGATGTACGAAGACCATGATTCCGATTTCTGATCGAATTCTTCAATTTTCCCGATGCGAGGCATTCTTTAGGTTTGAGATGGGGCGTCACTCACGTTACCGCTGTCTCCTTTGTTCCGATGTCGCTCAGTTGTTTATATCCGTCTTTGTTGCATAGATCCCATCCTCGTCGCCATTGTGGTGTACCAGTGATTTTGGGGTAATGCAGGATATATATTTATTTAACTGATAGATTACATTCGATTGACAACGTCTTCTTCGGTCTGCGACCGCGCCCAGTCTGTTCTTTCGCGCAGGCGTCACGTTCTTCACCGGGGCTCGCTCTCCCTCGCCGGCGTCTCCGGTTGTACCAGCCCGCGCGCCGTTGCCTGGACCAAAGGTCGTGTTAGCTGTGCGTGGCGAACACGCACACAATACACGGCACGCACACAATACACGGCAAGATCAATTTTAGAATTGTTTTATGAGCAATACAATATGGCGACTTACATCAAACAAACTTCATAGCGTGGATGCGTCTGGATTGAAAAACCGTTCACTCACGCTCACGGGGAGCCTTCTCTCTGAAGACCCCACCTGTAGTTCCTCTCTACTCTCGTTAATAAGGCAGTCTTGGTGCCTGCTTCGATAATCCGAGAATAATTGTTTCAGGTCAATTTTAGAATGGTTTTATGAGCAATACAATATGGCGACTTACATCAAACAAACTTTATAGCGTGGATGCGTCTGGATTGAAAAACCATTCACTCACGCTGACGGGAAGCCTTCTCTCTGAAGACCCCACCTGTAGTTCCACTCTACTCTCGTTAATAAGGCAGTCTTGGTGCCTGCTTCGATTATCCGAAAAATATGGTTTCAGATCAATTTTAGAATGGTTTTATGAGCAATACAATATGGCGACTTGCATCAAACAAACTTTATAGCGTGAATGCGTCTGGATTGAAAAACCATTCACTCACGCTAACGGGAAGCCTTCTCTCTGAAGACCCCACCTGTAGTTCCTCTCTACTCTCGTTAATAAGGCAGTCTTGGTGCCTGCTTCAATAATCCGAAAATAATGGTTTCCGATCAATTTCAGAATGGTTTTATGAGCAATACAATATGGCGACTTACATCAAACAAACTTTATAGCGTGGATGCGTCTGGATTAAAAAACCATTCACTCACGCTGACGGGAAGCCTTCTCTCTGAAGACCCCTCCTGTAGTTCCTCTCTACAGTCTTGGTGCCTGCTTCGATCATCCGAAAAATATGGTTTCAGATCAATTTTAGAATGGTTTTATGAGCAATACAATATGGCGACTTACATCAAACAAACTTTATAGCGTGGATGCGTCTGGATTGAAAAACCATTCACTCACGCTGACGGGAAGCCTTCTCCCTGAAGACCCCACCTGTAGTTCCACTCTACTCTCGTTAATAAGGCAGTCTTGGTGCCTGCTTCGATCATCCGAAAAATATGGTTTCAGATCAATTTTAGAATTGTTTTATGAGCAATACAATATGGCGACTTACATCAAACAAACTTTATAGCGTGGATGCGTCTGGATTGAAAAACCATTCACTCACGCTGACGGGAAGCCTTCTCTCTGAAGACCCCACCTGTAGTTCCACTCTACTCTCGTTAATAAGGCAGTCTTGGTGCCTGCTTCGATTACCCGAAAAATATGGTTTCAGATCAATTTTAGAATGGTTTTATGAGCAATACAATATGGCGACTTGCATCAAACAAACTTTATAGCGTGGATGCGTCTGGATTGAAAAACCACTCACTCACGCTAACGGGAAGCCTTCTCTCTGAAGACCCCACCTGTAGTTCCACTCTACTCTCGTTAATAAGGCAGTCTTGGTGCCTGCTTCGATTATCCGAAAAATATGGTTTCAGATCAATTTTAGAATGGTTTTATGAGCAATACAATATGGCGACTTACATCAAACAAACTTTACAGCGTGGATGCGTCTGGATTGAAAAACCGTTCACTCACGCTCACCGGAAGCCTTCTCTCTGAAGACCCCACCTGTAGTTCCTCTCTACTCTCGTTAATAAGGCAGTCTTGGTGCCTGCTTCAATAATCCGAAAATAATGGTTTCAGATCAATTTCAGAATGGTTTTATGAACAATACAACATGGCGACTTACATCAAACAAACTTTTAGCGTGGATGCGTCTGGATTGAAAAACCGTTCACTCACACTCACGGGGAGCCTTCTCTCTGAAGACCCCACCTGTAGTTCCTCTCTACTCTCGTTAATAAGGCAGTCTTGGTGCCTGCTTCAATAATCCGAAAATAATGGTTTCAGATCAATTTCAGAATGGTTTTATCAGGAATACAATATGGCGACTTACATCAAACAAACTTTATAGCGTGGATGCGTCTGGATTAAAAAACCATTCACTCACGCTGACGGGAAGCCCTCTCTCTGAAGACCCCACCTGTAGTTCCACTCTACTCTCGTTAATAAGGCAGTCTTGGTGCCTGCTTCGATCATCCGAAAAATATGGTTTCAGATCAATTTTAGAAAGGTTTTATGAGCAATACAATATGGCGACTTACATCAAACAAACTTTATAGCGTGGATGCATCTGGATTGAAAAATCATTCACTCACGCTGACGGGAAGCCTTCTCCCTGAAGACCCCACCTGTAGTTCCACTCTACCCTCGTTAATAAGGCAGTCTTGGTGCCTGCTTCGATTATCCGAAAAATATGGTTTCAGATCAATTTTAGAATTGTTTTATGAGCAATACAATATGGCGACTTACATCAAACAAACTTTACAGCGTGGATGCGTCTGGATTGAAAAACCGTTCACTCACGCTCACGGGAAGCCTTCTCTCTGAAGACCCCACCTGTAGTTCCTCTCTACTCTCGTTAATAAGGCAGTCTTGGTGCCTGCTTCAATAATCCGAAAATAATGGTTTCAGATCAATTTCAGAATGGTTTTATCAGGAATACAATATGGCGACTTACATCAAACAAACTTTATAGCGTGGATGCGTCTGGATTGAAAAACCGTTCACTCACACTCACGGGGAGCCTTCTCTCTGAAGACCCCACCTGTAGTTCCTCTCTACTCTCGTTAATAAGGCAGTCTTGGTGCCTGCTTCAATAATCCGAAAATAATGGTTTCAGATCAATTTCAGAATGGTTTTATCAGGAATACAATATGGCGACTTACATCAAACAAACTTTATAGCGTGGATGCGTCTGGATTAAAAAACCATTCACTCACGCTGACGGGAAGCCTGCTCTCTGAAGAGCCCACCTGTAGTTCCACTCTACTCTCGTTAATAAGGCCGTCTTGGTGCCTGCTTCGATTATCCGTAAAATATGAGGTCTGTTCGATTCGGCTAGAAAGTTCTGAACTAGTTCTGTCCGAGTTCAGAGGAGTGCAGGAGTCGTGCAGCGGCGGCGCAGAACCAGTGCAGCCACCGCGTTAGGACTGGCGCTGTGATCGACTTCCGGAGTACCGATAAAACGGATGCGCAAGACGTCGTCTGCTTTTGCCGTCTGGCTGCGTCGTCATGGAATTTTGTCTGCTAGCGCTTGGATATTTGCGTTAGTTTTATATTACTTTTTTTTACAAAAATATTTTCCATGTATGTTTCTTTACATTACAAAGTGCGTGCAGCATCTAATGAAACATGTCTGCATTTTATATCGTCTGATTTCGTGCTGCGATCGCTTTCATAGACATTTCATCGACCACGTACCTGGATACCTTCGCGAGATCAAGATGACGATGTCCCGTCAGAATTTACTGGCCGCTGCAGTAGCGCTCATCGAAGACGAGAGCGACGATGAGCTCGACGACATCATCGCCCTCGCCTCGATTGTTTCGGCACGGACTGACAGGAACAGGGTTCCCCTGTACTACGAAAAGGTGATCGACACCTACTTCGATTTCGAATTTATGCGCTTGTTCAGGCTTTCGAGAGAGACACACGCGGAGCTGGCTGGTCGATATGAAGCTTCGGCGTTTTACCCGGATTCCGTTGGTGGACGACCGCAGATTTCGGCGGAGAAGACATTGCTGATTGTGCTTAGTTACGTAGGCACGAGAGCCACAATGTACCAGATTGCGGATCGCTTTGACATAACGGAGTCGTCCGTTCACCTCTGCATTGAAAGAGTTCTGAACTTTCTGAACAGTATCAGCGCACAAATAATCACCTGGCCTGACCAGGAAAGACGTCGGAGGAGCCAAGCCGGCTTCCTGAGGAAAACTAAGGGGAAAGGGCCTCACAAAACGATCGGGGCGATTGATGGATGCCATGTAGAAATCCTGCGACCAACAGAGTCTCCGAACTCCTACTACAATCGGAGCAAGTTTCATTCCATTGTCCTGCAGGGTATCTGCGATGATCAAAATCAATTCATCGACGTCTACATCGGGTTCCCCGGTTCAGCGCACGACGCCCGCATCCTGAAGGAGAGCCCCATCTTCGAGGACGCGGAAGCCAAGTGTGCGGGTGGGTACCTGCTGGGGGATTCGGCTTATCCCCTGCTGCCATACGTCATGACCCCCTTCAAGTCTTCAAAAGCGGCCCTGCCGTCCTGGAAGACTACGTATAACACGAAGCACGGTCAACAGAGAGTGACAATCGAAAATACTTTCGGGCTGCTCAAGCAGCGATTTCGGAGAATGTACTTGGTCGACAGCGCCAGCATCAGACAGTGCTGCCTTGTCGTTATGGGCGCCTGCGTTCTCCACAACCTCTGTAATGCAGAGAGAGACTTTTTCGATGACCTGAACAACGCCCGCCCGCCTGACCAAGTCACCAACGACGACGACCACGCGATCCAACCGGACGACGCCACAAGGAGTCTCTCCGAGCGGATCCGAGAGGCCATTGCTAAGACCGAATGTTAGGAAGCGATATCTACACCTGATCCTCCAAAAATATTCTTTTTTTTTTATTTTGTGTGTGTGTGTGTGCGTGTGTGTGAACATACAAAGATGGTACTTGAGCTTTGGAAAATGAAGCGTACCGACTTCATGAAAACACAATTAAACAAAGTAACGGGTTACTTCGTTCCTTCATTTCTGCGTACAGTATTATTTTGATCCAATATCCTAGTACGTTCGTATACCAGAATACATATATGCGGGCATGCACAGGTAGTCAGTGCCAGTGACTCCTAAAACGTAACATTGTTCCTAAAGCTATTTTCAACCTAACAACCAACAAAACCTAAAATAAAAAAAAAACAAAAAAACTAGATATGGCGGTAAAAAAAATACATGCTGCAAAACTCGGAAATAATTGTAAAAACTAAGAATGAATCGTGGGACTACAGAGGAGTGGCAAACAAAATCAGCAAGACAATTTGAACGAATTTATTCGTACGGCACATTTGTGCACCAGTCAAAACAATAACAAAAGAATAAATAAAACGGCCTGCGAAACAGTGAAACTGTAATCAAGTTCATTGAGGTGCATGAAGCACGTCTACTGTGCCGGCGCGCTCTTTTCGATTGCAGTCACGAGGCGCCCGAGAAGAGCCATCCGGTCCTTATGTCGTTTCTTGCGACTCTCCTCCATGTCGGCGAACACCTTGAGCAGCGAGCCCAGGACGGTTTCCCTCTTTCGCTTGCTCGGTGTACCGGCCGGAGCACGCTGGTTTGAGGGCGGAGCCACCCCTAAGGCAAGGGAGGAGGGTCCTGCCTCTGTCCCTCGGGAGGTTTCAACCTCGGCGCTGAAACATTTTTTTTTTTTATGTTACGTTGATTATACGTTTCTTAAGTACTTACCTGGTGTCTCCTTCCTTTTCAAGCACTCTTCCCGGCGCCAACAACACAGTTGGTGAAATATGGTGCTCTTTCTCGAGGATGTCATGAAGCTCGCTAAACCACAGAAACAGCACGTTTACAAGTGATGACCTATATAAAAAAATTAGTGAACGTACGTACTCCTCGTATTCAAAATGCACCCTAGAGTGGCCCGACTTGTTGTTTTTCGATTTGGCGTTCTTGTACGCTCTCTCCAAGGACTTCCACTTGTTTTCGGCCTGGTCAGCGGTGACAACGCCGCCGAACTCTCCGACGACGGTGTCGGCCAGCTGCTGCCAAAGGGCTCGTTTGGTCCTAAACATGATGTTTACTACGTATTAGCATGTATTATAAAATATATCCTGACAAAGACATACCTGAAACCCCCCTTTGCTCTCAGACGCTCTTTTAGTTCCTTATAACAGCCGATAAAGAACTTCGTCTTCACGGCACTCCACAGCTGCCCTTCGACGTCCGTTGTGGGTGGACGCGCAGGCTGCAGGACAGTTGGGTCTGCGTCCGGCTCAGAGGCAAAGACGAGCGTAACTCGTTCTCCGTCTTAAAGAATAGAATGCGAACATTGTAAACATCGATGTATAATCGCGAGGTGAATGACTGGCTTAAGCAAGTCATTCACGAAACGTAAGCAAGGCTGCGTAAGCAAGCCGACGCAGCCCTCTTACGATTTTTAACGTATTTAATTCGAGCTTATTCCTACCTTCGGTAACGTACACCATCCCGCTTCCGTCCACTACGGGCACACCATTTTCGTCCACAAGTGGGAAGACTTCCGTTTCTACGTTGTTGTGTATAACAAACATGCTTTAATGACCGAGCACAGCGAGCAAAAAAGAGAAGAGTCGTCTGCTTTCGTCGTCTGCTTTCGTCGTCTGCTACTGCACGAACGCTGAACTGGCTTCGGAGCCGGTGTAGGACGCCGATCTCACTACCCCTCCGCTCCGACTACGGTAGTGGTTTTGGCGTACGCCAAAATCAATACCGTAGTCATTTCGGCGTATGCCATAGTCAATACCGTAGTCTTTTTCGCATACCCCAAACACACTACCCTTACGCCAAATTCAATACCTTGAATAACGTCGGCTGAGCATGGGTTGAGCAGCTCCGCATTTCGCTAAAACTGGCGGAAGTAACTTTCTGCAGCATAACACCCTGATTGTTTGTTGTTGTTTGCGTGGTTGTTTGTATGAGCGGCGGAACGCGCGCGGCAGGCGTTAATTAATTGTGATTAGCGTTGATACGGCTGACGGCGCGCAGAGCTGAAGGGCACAAGCAAGGAAGCTTGGAGCGATTCTGTGTCGATGTGATTTGACATCGCTTCTTTCTGGTTCTTCGATCATGGTGCAAATGCAGGTGCCCGACTCCCGAGCGATTCGAAGGCAAGAGTGGTAGCCTGTCCGCTGGTCTTTCAATCGCATGCACTGTCGTCATTTTGGGCACAGCGGAAGAAAATAAGACGTTCACTATTTTAAATAGCGTGCGATCGGCCTGTCTAGGTTCTGGCGACACCGTTTCAGGCTGTAGATGAGAAAATTTAGCCACTACAGTACGACTGCTAGCCTGGGGTCTGCGCCTCACAACAGATCGAAACGGGTAGGGGTGGGGATCCCTGGCAGCGGGACCTTTCGCCGTACGAGCTGCGGTGCGCTAACACACTCGACTTCCGATACCCCCTTGGGTCACAGCGCTTGCTGAAAGAAGTTTGGACCGTTTTACGCAGATTTTGCAGTGCGTACGAGACGCGCAACAGCTACGTACTACGTCCTAGATGCCCAACTGAGGCTCGCTACTTGTGCGCGGCTGTCGTGATCTGCAGCTGGGAACAGTATGCTCGCCATGAAAACGTTGCAGTGAGAAGTACGGAAAAGTAATACTATAAAAGTATAGTATCTAAAACTGGCTTACATTGTCACTGAACATATGGAAATAAAACTGATTAGGAATGCCGATCAGATGGGTGGGAATGTTATATAATGTGCTCAAGTTATGTGTGGCGTCACGTCGGCACAGGAATTCAAACTAGTTGCCCCCACCCCCGCTCCTAAATTCTTCCAATGCTGCTGGCAGCTTTTTATATATATATATATATATATATTTATTTATTTATTTATTTATTTATTGTAACTTTAAAGGCCCCAACAGGAGCATTACATAAGGTGTGCGTGCGTGCGTGCGTGCGTGCGTGGGTGGGTGGGGGGGGGGGGGGAGTACATGAAAAATACAAAAGATCAACATATGAACAGACAGGTGGCTGATACCTACAGGGCTGGTGAGTATAATATAAACAGTGAGAACAAGTGTGTGTGAAATAAAACTGGTACATAAATACACTTGCTAAAAGAGTAATCGAAGCATTGCGGAACAAGACGGGGTTACCTATTGCCGGGCAAAACCAGGGTAATCGCCAACTCACACCAAGCATACCGGAGCTTCCAGTCGGGCTTGGTGCCCTGAAAAGCGCTGCAGGTGCTCAAAAACAAAAGACCCCCAAAGGAGCCCATAGAATTTAAATGGGTACCTGCCCACTCCGTGGTAGAGGGCAACAAACTTGCTCACCAGCAGGCCTGCGTGCTGACTTACCGGGCCACAGCCATGGAAGAGGTGCAGGACCAACCCATGGTGACCTAAAAGGAAATACTAGTCGCACTCTACCGCAAGACCCTAGATGACGCGTTGCTGACACATGAGGAAGTTCTTCACCCAGGGATGAGCAGGCACAAAGAACCCTCGGTGAACCTGGATCTGAAAAAAGATGCAGCACTGCGTTTTTTGAAGGCTAGCCCTGTTCCGTTTGCAATGTGTACCACAGTGGAGGCAGAACTCCGGATGCTCCAAAGCTAAGGCATAATCGAGCCAACACAACACTGAACGCTGTTGAAAAACTGGCGGTAAATCTGATGCGGGCTGTAACAAATTTTGTGGTGAGCGTGCTTGGAGGCACTATTTTTTCAACAGTGGACCTCACTAATAATAATAATAATAATAATTTTTATTTGCACGAGAAAGTTTGCCCACTCAGCGGCGTGCGAGGCTGGACAGAAAGGTTAATACCCTTACGCATGTGCGCCTGCTAGCCCGCCGCTGAGTAGGTATAAACATAAACAAACTGTAGTCGTAAGTACAAGATAACACATATACACGTATGGAAACAATGAATAATCAGAGGGGAAGATAAGAAAACTCGCTGTGCCCCAACCCACCCCCACGCAGACCACGGCAGAGGCCCCAGCCACAAGGCATTCCACTAGCTGTGTGTGACAGTGGAGACAGCAGATATGCTCACCATAAACACCATCAAAGGACGACACAGAGTGAAAAGGATGCTCTTGAAAATTTCGGCTGCCGCGGCAATTTTTCAGCTCTGCAAGGAGACAGTCAGGAAAACCCATCATGGAATTCTACCTGGGTAATGTTGTGACGATCTGGATCGGTCATCAAGATAACTGGGCACCGTGCTCAGGAAAGACATGTCAACGTCATCAACTACCATGCCAAAACTACTTCTTTTATTTCGATCATGAGCGCTCGCACGAGCCGCCTCAGAGCGATGTCTCTTGCAGCCCGTCACGTGCCAAGGGTTTTAAGTGTCGACCTGATATCACGCTGCCATGCAACAAACATTAAACAAATACTGCATTGAGCAATATGCACATGATTAAATAATGATATACATACGACGTGATAAATGAGAAAAAAAACTTATAAAGTTTACAAAATTCAGTCCCCAGGTAGAGGCTGCACAAATTTGACGACCGGCTTCAGTTTCTCCACATGCACTACATTGCGGCCAGTACCGTCCACGAGTTCAAGCTCGTAGTTCACGGGAGAGAGCCGGCTCACAATTTGGCGAGGGCCAGTAAATCATAGTGTTACCTTGACTCTGATGAGTGGGCTCTCCTACAACTCGAGCTAGTCCTTAAAAAGAACATACATGTGCCACTGTCAAAGTCGCTTTCTTGCTTTTCTTGAGCAAGCTTGATTTGTCTGGAGGTCACCTTCCGAGCTGCGTACCGCTGTCAAATGTGACACCAACGTTGGTGCTGAGGGTTGACAACTTTCCAAGGTTCTGAGACAGAAGTCCCCTGGCAAAAAAAGGC